TGAGAAAGCACCTCCAAGGAGGGTTGGCCACACTGGAATTGGAGAAGGCATCTGGGCATGCTCATACGTGCACCCAGTGTTTGTTTTCTGGAGAGGTTTTTGTTATAGGGCACATGCGCTCGCCAGAGAGACAGAGAGAGACAGAAACAAAAAGCGAGAAATCACCCCCCAGGGGGATGGCCATGCCGCAATCCCTTCTCCTCCATTCTCCTCTCGGGATCTTGGGCACGCACACACATGGCATGAGTTTAGGCCACGGGGTCCGGACTTGAACCACAGTTGACTACATGGGAGTCCAGTGATGTAGCCATTACGCCATTTGCTGGTCCCAACGCCCAGTTTGTTTTTGAAGCCACTGGTTCTAGGACTTGAACCCACAGTTGACCATGAGGGATCCAGCTGCCTTAACTTCTACATTTACCTGCTGGCCCCACATGAATAGATATATTTATTAGTTACAAACAAGTTAACTAGATTTTCTAGCTTTGTCTGGAAAATCTATTTAAGATCTAATGACATATTTACTGGCATCAGTAAAGGTAGAGATATTTTTACCTAAATTTTTGCTACTTATTAGTAGGATGGGTCCAAATTCACAGGTTTTGTCCCTAATATAGTTTGGGCTAAATAAATGTCAAAAAATGTAAATACTGGGGCCAGCAAGAGGTGTGGAGGTTAAGGCAGCTGCATCCCATGTGCCCAACTGCATGGTTTAAGTCCCAGGCCTGGCAGCTTGAAAAACACGCAGGGCACATGCATGTTCAAAGTCCTGAGAGGAGAATGGGGTTGAAAGGACTGCAGCACAGCCAACCCCTCCCCCGCACTCTCTATCTCTCTGTCTCTCTCTGGCAAGGACACAAACCCTGTAGCAAACTAAAAAATAAATAAAACTACATGGGAGTCCAGCAACACAGCTATTACGCCAACTGGTGGTCCCATAGTTTTAAAAAGCAAATGTGGCCATGTGACAGTGGATGCTGTGGGCGCTGCCTCGATCTGGGCTTCGGGGTCAATGTTGTCATTTTGCTAGCTGCTAGGAGAGCTGGCGGGGTCCCTCCTCCAGAGTCCCTCCCAGACCTCTCCTCAGCCAAAAGGGCAACCTCTGTCCAGTAACTGGAAGTGTAGGAGTGCAGATGAGGCCTGTTTCCAATCTGCCCAACCCCTAGCTTCCGCAACTGCTATCAGGAGCGGTCCTGGGATCCAGGCCCTAAGACAGCACTGTGGGGCTATCACAGTGTGGAAAAACAAGTGGGAGCCTTGGAAGCTGATACTCCCTCCCCAGGCCAAAGGAGCAAAGAAAACACAAAGTCACATCCCAGAGGATTGGCGAGGTCGGTGCCAGCGGTAGGCTAAAGGATATGGGCGTGGTGGGTCTCATGCATCAGGCTGGCTAGGCCATGGCACCCAGTAGTCTGGTTATAAAC